AAGAAAGAAAGAAAGAAAGAAAGAAAGAAAGAAAGAAAGAAAGATTCAGATTATATTTCTAAAATTTCAATTTCACGGAACCAGGGCTCAGAAATACAAACTGTAGCAGAAATAGCTCAAAATCCCAACCATTAGACCCTCTGCCTCCTCCTTCTCCTCCTCTTTTTCCTTCTAAGACACAATCTCATTGTGTAGCTCCAACTGGCCTAAAACTCCTTATGTAGCTAGCCCAGGCTGGCCTTGAAACTCACAGTGATTAGCATGCTTCTGTCTCTGGAGTGCTGAGATTAAAGGTGTGGATCTGTAGGTGGCCACACCCCCTAGGGTGTGGTTAGGGTGACCCCTACATGCAGGCCTGCCTGCCTCCTCTTCCTCCTTCTCTTCTTCCTCTGTTTCTTCTGACAGTCTAATGTAGCCCAGACTGGCCTCAAATTTGACATGTGCTGATTCTGGACTTGAATTCCTGATGCTGCCTCTACCTTCCTAGTTAAAGCATACATATTTATTGTTTTTTTTTTTTTTTAAGTAAGTTAGAGCCATCAAGATGGCTCATGGTACAAAGAGCTTGCTTGGAAGCCTGGGAATCTGGGTTCAATCCCTGGAACACATGGAAAGATGGGAAGAAAGAACAGATGCCACAAAGTTATCCCCTGACTCCCTTATATGTGTTATGACACACACTGCCTCCCCACAATAACACATACACACATACATGCATGCACACATATAGCACACACATGTCCCCACACAATAACATGTATCCATGCATGCATGCACATACAGTTGGGCTAATATGCAAAAGGACATGTGTTTATAGTGTCCCGTTTGATAGGCAAACCCCATGGATGAGATAGTAGAATAGCAGTTCCCAGGCCTGGGGGAAAGGATGTTGAGAGCTACTGCTAAGTAGGTTCGGAGTTTTTGTTAGGGTGGTTTCCTTAAGGTCCTACAAGGATGTAGTAGTGACAGTTACAGAACACAGTAAGTGAATTTAATGCTACTGAATTTGCATTATATGTGGGTCCTGAAGACCCGGTGCTGGGGTTCAAACCTGGGACCTACCAAGTGCTCAGTGAATGTTATACCAGCAAGCCACATCCCTAGGCCTGCTCGAGACACTCTAAAGTGATTGAAGTGTAGGCTGAGGTAGTAACTCGATGGCACAATATATATTCAGCATATATGGAGCTCTGAGTTCAATCCCAGCATCTCTCTCTCTCTTTGTTTGACACACAGACACACACACTGATAAGATTATCACAAAAAGAAAGGAAATGCTTAAAACTGTAAGCTTTATGATACACACATAATACATACATACACACAAACACACACAATTTTTAAAACATGAAAAGCCCAATAGAGAAAGATTTAGGAAGGAGGAGCATCTTTTTATTGGCATGGTTGAAGAATTGCCACCAAAAGGACTGGAGAGATGGCTCAGCAGTTAAGAGCACTGCCTGTTCTTTCCAAAGGTCCTGAGTTCAATTCCCAGCAACCACATGGTGGCTCACAACCATCTGTAATGAGATCTGGTTCCCTCTTCCGGCATGCAGGCATACATGCAGACAGAATGCTATATGCATAATAAATAAATAAATTTTAAAAGAAAGCAAAGGAACAAAGAAGATGGCGCAGTGAGTAAAGGTGTCTGTCGCCAACCCTGATGACCTGAATCTGATGCCCAGGACTCACAGAGTGGAAGAACAACTCCTACAAGTCGTCCTCTGATTCCCACATATACAACCTAACAAATGTCAAAAAGATTTCATAAACTCAAGGCTCATCAGTTAAGTGCAGGATGGAATTCAGTTCCCAGGGCCCACGTTGGGCAACTTACAATTGATTATATCCCCAGTGCCAAGGGCATCTAGTGCCTCCAACCTCCAAGGACATCTATATACACGTGAACATCCCCCACCCCAATCACACACACATACACAGATACACGCAAGTAAAATAAAATCATTCTTTAAAAATTCTAGTTTACACGGAGTGTAGCAGTGCAAGTCTTTGATCCCAGCACTTGGGAGGCAGAGGCAGGTAGCTCTCCATGAGTTCGAGGCCAGCCTGGTCTACAGAGCGAGTGCCAGGACAGGCTCCAAAGCTACACAGAGAAACCCTGTCTCGAAAAAACAAACAAGCAAAAAAACTCAAACACATAAAATCAGGTTGAATATGAGTGTTGTTTTGTTGGGAAATGCTAACACGGGTCTCTCTATGCCACCTCTGCTGGCCTAGGACTTGAGATCTTAAGGCTCCAGCCTCCTAAGCCCTGTGATTACAAGTGTGGACTCCACTCCTAGCTTTTCTCATTGCTTTAATTTGTTGGTACTTGCAGGCTCCCAGGCCAACTCCACCCTGCCCCCTGGTGTTTGGGACGACCCTATATGTTTATCTTTGTAGCTCAGATCCTTTTTGTGTGTGTCTGGATTGGGGTGAGGTGGGGTGGGGTGCTTTGTCTTTGTCTTTGTACTGTGTGTATGTCTTTCTGAATCTCCTTATGTTTGTAAGTTTGCCTACAATGTGTTGTGTGACAATTAAGTGAGATCATGACATCAGACACCCACTGCAGTGCTGTGGAAAAGGATCAGCGACTGTTACATCTGCATGCTTAGTCCTGTGTGTTCTGCTCTCGCCTTGGGCATCTGGGAGGCTCCTGGTCCTTGGCTCCCCACATCTCTTCTATTCTTGTCCATGATGTATCTTCTCAGCACATGGCAATCTCCATTTGGCTCCCTCTCTGGCCTGGAGGGTGATTATTGGATGGGGTGTCACTACCCCTGTTTTCAGGTGGAGGTTCTCCCAGGGCTGGCCTGCTATGAGAGAGCACCCCAAGGTCTGGTTTGCCCAACAGCCACACCAAAATGGTTCTAAATTGTCTTCCTTGTGACACTCAGTCTTTCACAAGTTCCAGCTAGCCTTGCACTTGCTCCTCCGTAGGATTTCAGAAGACCCTAGTAGTGACAAAGATCTCTTGAGAACACAGAGGCCTGAACCCTCAAAGCGAATTGAGCCACCTGAGAGGAGACCCGGTCTGTGTCCCTCCAATTAGCTGTTGAGCCTGGGCTCACCGGCCACCACCGGGGCTCAACTTTGTTACCTTCAAAGTGGACACAAGGGTTGTGTTGAAGTCTCTTGTCCCTTCCTCCTGACACACCATGAAGCAGCACCTCCTGACACACCATGAAGCAACCTTCAATGCAAGCCCCTTTCAAGGCCAACAGTGGGAGTTCTGCAGAAGGTCCTTCACATTCAAAGCTGTGGAGGAAGCAAGTGGAGGGGGGGCAAGTGGGAAGCCTGCAGTCTGGGTCCATGGGACCGCCTGGCTCACAAAGGGGAGGGAAGCCCTCTGACACACTGCCTCCTAGCTTGGAGGTTCCCAAGCAGAGAAAGACAAGGATGGCCAGGAAATCTGTTTCCTGAGCAAAGGTCAGCCTGGCTACCTCTGATGATCTTTTGGAAGTCTCTGATCTGGCCAGCAGGGAAGAAAGGCTCCTTTTCTTGGGTGGGAGTAGACATTGGCACAGGCTGTCTAGATACAGACTCCAGTGTCTATCTTGAGGGCCATTCAGACGCCCAGGACCTAGCAGGCTCTGCCAGCTGCCTGGAGAAGAGAACATTGTCTTGGCCCCACAAGCTGTAATGGGGGCTTCTATCCACAGCTTTCAGGATGGGCTGGGACCCAGAAGCCATGTACTAGTACCCAGCTCTGAGGGATGACTAGCATACCTTCCAGTCTTCCAAGGGTTTGGGGTCACTCTCTGACCTGCCCCGGAAGTGCTACATGGGGTTAAGTGTGAGCATCCATGTGCTATGTACCAAGTAAGAGGGCACATGACCTAGAGGCTTTGGGTCTTCAGTTCCTGGTTGTGTGGTCCAATAGACTTCAAATTATCAAGGGGGCTCAGAAACTCGATCAGGAGCTCTGCTTGGAGAGTTCCATATATGCTAATGAGTTTAGCAAATCCACCTCCCACAGGGGAGACTTTTGAAGAAGTTTTTTTTTGTTTGGTTTGGCTTGGTTTTAGATTTTTTTGGGAGGGCAGTGGTTTCGAAACAGGATTTCTCTGAGTAGTTCTGGCTGTCCTGGAACTTGAACTCTGCCTCCCAAATACAGGAATTAAAGGTGTGTGACACCACCACCTGGCTTAGGTAGGAATATTTATTCTTTAACTCTGGTCCCAACATAAAAACGAACTTTGCTGGATGCTCTGCCTTCCAGGTGTAAGTGCACTGATGGAGAGTGTCGTTCCTGTTCTTTATGTATTCAAATCCAGAGGGCTGGACTGGGTGTGTGGACCATTTGGAAGAGTGCTTGCCTAATGCACACGAAGCCCTGGTGTGATGGTCAGTGTTGACTGTGAACATGACAGGGTCTAAAATCACCTAGTGCATGCCCGTGAGGATTACCTAGATTAGGTTAACCTATCTAGAATTCACGAGAATTCACAAAAAGTATAATAAGCAATTTATTAACGGAAAGACAGACTCTCAAATACAGAACAAAGCAGAAGCTACTGCTGATCCCAGGCCACCTCTCCACCGCTTGGTGTCCAACCATGCCAAGCACGAGCGAGAGCAACTGCCCCCCTTCTTTCCTTTAGGGGGTCCTATCACAGACAAGAAACACCACCTCTATTGGGTCAGATATCCCAAGGTCATGGGTGGAGTGACTATCCACTACCCTTCCCCCTTTTGTCTAAATAAGAAGGTTCTAAACAAAACTATATACAATAAGAATGATTATCAAGTATTGTCCAGGAGAAAGAAAGGGTAATAACATACACAAAACCAGATTTTTTTTGTTGTTGTTGTTTTGTTGTACTGTGTAGCCTGGCTGTGAGGAACTCACTGTGTAGCCCAGGCTGACCTTGATCTCAGAGATCTGTGTGCTTCTGTCTCCAGAATTCTGTGATTAAAGGTGTGTGTCACCACTGCCCAATTCACAAAAACAGAATTATAAACAACAATAGCAATGTGAAGCAAGAAACACATACCAAATGTCCAGGCTTTAGGTAACTGGCAAATAACAGAGATTATTCCAATAGCTGTCCCATCCTGAAGTGTCCCAGTCTTGTACGTAATATGCCTTAGCTAAGATAAGAGAGAATAGTAATTGTGGGCATCTAGTCTTCAACCCCATCGAAGACCTGAGAAGGAAAATAATATTGCAGGAAGTGCAAGCAAGCGACTTCCAAAAGGTGCAATAAACGACAGAAACAGTTGGCTACCTGGACAGTCACTCAAAGTCTTTCAGCAATGTTAGGGTAACCAACTTTGGCTATAGGCCTAAAATATCTGACAGACGATTTTCAGAAGCAGGAAAATTCTAAAGACTGTCCTACCCTGCCTTGGCAAGGTTCAGCAGTCACTTTTCCTTGAATCCTGCTTGCCCAGTTTGGACATTGTGCTTACTGTCAGCAGCCAAGGCAAAGGCAGTTCTTTGCCCAATGGACCAGTTTTGCCAAGAAGAAAACAAGCTCCATATGGAGTGTCTCTGGGCCTATCTTACTCTCTGGAGCAGTCATGTCTCACATCAGCAGGATTCTAAGTTATTAAAATATTTAAATGCCATATTCTGTAGGTCTTTGAAGTGTTTGAAGGTTACCTGTCTATAAGGAGTACATCTCTGTGCATCTAGAGAACCTAACTAACATAACTATAAGTATGGCAAACATAGGTGACTAGTAACCTGTAATTCTCCATAACCTATATAACTTAAAAACTAAAGCTTCACATTATAAAAATAAACAATCTTTAAACAGGTGCGCAGCATGAGGACAATAATCTCGAAACTGTAACTGTCTTAATCAGAGGCAGAAATGTGTAGTGCAATATGACAAAAATATTCTTAATTTGTATCAATATACAAAATATCTTAAGCAGAAGTAGAAACATTCATACATATAGCATGACAAAAATAATTTTAAATTTGTGTACAAAAACATTGCAAACAGAAATAGGAACATATACAATATGACAAATAGAACTTTGAATTTGTATCATTATACTCACAATCTTAGACAGGAATATGGAAAATAGTTTTACATGCGTATCAATATACAAGAATCTATACCAATGTAAATTGTCTAAAACTAATAGTTGCTAAATAGTTTACAAATAGACACAATAATCTACCTTATTATTCTATCCTGTCTATTCCCCCTTTATCTTTTCCAGATGAGATTTCTGAGTCTAAGCTTTATTGTTTCACCCTCAATCCTAATACAACTTATAGCCAACCCCCAACAGAAGACAATTATCCATAACCCTAAGAAAACAAAATCTGGTGGAAGACGGGGCATTGTTTTCTTAGAATTGTTTCTTATTGTCTAGTGGGTGATGATATCTGTATAGGATCCTATAAAAACCTAAAGCAATGGTTAAGTCTCAAGAGGACTAGTTGTAACATTTGTAGGTGGTCTCTGTGTCGTGAGTAAGGCTTATCTGAATTTCTGGCTAGAGTATTCTAAGAAGGGGGACCATCTCAGCCAGCCAATTTGGAATTGTCTAGAGAAGTTAGTAGTCCAAAACCCATTCATGAGTGGTGTTTATCAGCTTGATGGTATCATTTTGAATCATTGTTGTGGGGCCCCTTGTTCCTTATGGAGTCTTCAGAGATTGCTGTTAGGAAAATGTATTGTTTGCTGTGGAAAACTTTAACATTATTAATGTCAAAATGGAAAGTTTAAATTTTCAATAGATATATATCTAAAGAAAAGCACCAAAGATATGAAAATAAGTATGGGGAAGAATAGAATTTTGGGGAGATAACAGAGTTTTGATAACAATAGTCCCTACATTTCTGGCTTTCTTCTGTCCCACACCAGGTGGCCCCTCTGATATGAGACAGAAACTCTGAATTTTTATTTAAACAACATGCTTGAATTTAGAGAGGGAGAGAACTAAACTCCAACTTGTGGTGATACATTATTTATGATTTATTAAAGCTTGCCTGAGGATTCAGAAAGCAAAGTCAGCCGCAAGCCATGGAAGTCAGGCACATATCTTTAATCCCAGCAGACAGAAACTAGGAAGTGGTAGCACACACCTTTAATCCTAGGACTCAGGATTAAGAGGTAAACTGATCTCTGTGAGTCCAAGGCCACCCAGATCTACACAAGCCTGATTCAGTCCTAAAGAGAAACAGCTCACACAAAGATGATCTCAGCACCTGTGGTGATGCTAGAGGGATATAAAAGATAGGAGCAGGGTCTTCAATAGTCAGTATCAGGCATTCATTCTCCAGCCACATTGAGGATAGGAAGACATTGAAGTCTTAGGATTCTCCAGCCATGCTGAGGAGAGGTAGCAACCTGAGGTTTGGTGGACCCAGGATTGCCTTTCGGTCTGAGGTAGAGTGAGAGCTAGTGCCTGACTACTTTGCTTTTCTGATCTTCAGCTTGAAGCTTGAACCCCAATACAGTCTCTGGGTCTTTTATTTTTTGTGCTATACCAACTCCAAAGCCAGCTTTGATTTTTAATTGAGTTGGGACTACAACTTCTGTGAGAAGTAAATAGATGTGGATGTTGAGGTAGTGAGATTTTACCCTGTGGAGAATATTGGTAACATAGGTCAGATTTTACTTTGATTGGTAAGTTTTGATAGCTTTCCCTTCTTTTTTAGACATCTAGATGTCCAAGGTATTTTGATTTATTTAAGGTGTATCTCTATTTTCCTGTAAAGACAAAAACAGAACCCTGTTCTGACCCTTGTGAGATTATCTAGTATAGTGGGAAATTACCAATACGGAGTCAGGTAGAAATATAAGGGTATTTAATAGGGAAAAGCCTTACTTACAGAGCGACCTAGCCAGCCAGCGTGGCAGCAGTCTGTATGCAAGCCCAAAAGAGAAACCGAAAGCGAAAATGCAGTCACCCTACGTCCCCTTACCACGCCCTCGAAAGCTTGCGAGGGCGTGGTCAGGCATATCTGTAACCAGCCCCTAAGTAGGCATGGCTACAGCTTCCCCTATAATCTAGATTAGATTAATTAGGATGGGAAGACATGTTTTTTCTTAACGTTTTTATTTCATGTGCATTGGCATTTTGCCTGCATGTATGTGTGTGTAAGGGTGTCAGATCTTGGCGCCCCAGAGGTAAGCTACCATGTGGGTGCTGGGAACTGAACCTGGGTCCTCTGGAAGAGAAGCCAGTGCTCTTAACCTATGAGCCATCTCTCTGGGCCCAGGAAGTCATGTTTTAACTGTAGGCCACACCACTGCATAGACTGGGATGAGATAAAGAGGAGAAATCTAGCTGAGCATCGGCATTTACACACTGCTTACGACTAAATGCAATCCAATTCAGAATGCTGTCACTGTGGTTACTGGACTCTCCAGCTGCAAGCCCAAATGGGTCCTTTCTCCATAAATCACTGCTGTCAGAGTATTTTACCACAGAAACAGAAAAAGGAACTAATACACCTGGGTTGGATTCCCAGCACCATGTAGACTATGTGTGGTGGTACACACACCTGGAATCCCAGCACTGGGGAAGCAGAGGAAGGAGGATCAGAAACTCAAGATCATCACTAGATGATAGTGAATTTGAGGGCCAGCCTGGGCTACAAGAGACACTGTCTCAAAAAAACCAAACAATCCGGGAGGCAGTATGCACACCTTTGATTCCAGCACTCAGAAGGCAGAGGCAGGCAGATCTCTGCATTCAAGGCCAGCCTGGTCTGTAGAGCAAGTTCCAGGACAGCCAGAACTACACAGAGAAACCCTGTCTCAAAATACTAAAACAAAACAACAAACAAGCAAACAAAAAACACACACTAAGACAAAAGAGGAAACTAAATGCAGTATGACCATGTCTGTGGGAAAAAAAAGTCCAGTGAAGTGTTTCAGGGTGTGGTGGTCTGTATGTATCTCTACTCCTAGCTGCTTGGGAGCCTGAGACAGGTGGACTCTTTAGGTCACACCTACACAACATAACAAGACCCCATCTTGAGCAGTTTGAGCAATAAGAAAACAAAAACAAGGAAGTCTAGCATTTAGTTCATACCAGCATACCTACACTAATTCCTCTGTTGTGAGGGACTTACATGGAAATGGTAAGATGTCAGTGTAGGAGGACCCTGGGTACCAGGTACGTGCGAGCTCCATGTGGACAGTGACAATAAAGCTAAAACGAAAGGGTGGATGGAAACTGTAGGAGGAGCCATTATTTCCCCCACTCCTGGGGTCTCTTCCATGCCACCCCCTTCTCTCTGTCTCTCTTTGGAGATAGGATCTCATGTAGCTCAGGCTGACCTTGAACTTAATATGTAGCATGGTCAACCTTGAATTCCTGATCTTCTTGCTTCTACTTCCCAAGTCACAGGTGTGTACTGCATACCCATTTTTTTTTTTCCGAGACAGTGTTTCTCTGCTGCATACCCATTTTAAATCCCATTTCTTTACCCCTAATACACACACTTTGTTACTAAGATTGCTGGAAGTGTTAGATAGAGGTTGCTTTCGAACACAAGCAGTTTAGAAATGGTGGTCCTTGCCACTGAGAAGGCAGATCACGTGTGTCAGGGGCTCATCCTCATCCTGTCTCATGCCATATGCATATATCACAAAACTCATCTTGTTACAGACATCCATGTTGCCCAGGCTGGTTTTGAACCCTGGGCTCAAACAGTCCTCTGGCTTCAGCTTCTGGTGGGGAGATGAAACTGATTGAATCAGCTGTGAGCTGAGGAAGTTTGAGGCACTTCTCATGTGCTAGAATGGCTATGTGGCCAACCAGCTGGTCAAGAACAGGGAGCTTGGGAGCCTGGATGCATGGCGAAGGTGTGTGTGGCATCAGGAAAGATCTCTCAGCCTATGTTTGCTGTTTGTAAACCAGGGCCTCCCTGGGAGTCAGGGAATGAGTAGGGCTGAAGTAGAGCTGTCCTTCATCCCCATGTGGAGGCAGATGAACTCACACTGAAGTCATCATTCCTGCTACTGTCCCAGAAAGTGAGAAAGCAGCCCGCCTCCGCTCTCCCCTCGGCTGCCTCCACTGAGGCTCTTCTGGAACTCCTCAGGCTCTGCACAGTGGAGTGTGGTTCCCTCAGCTCTCACCAACTCCCAGCCAGCTGCCTATGCTGCTGGTGGCTGAGGCCCAGCTGGCCCCCGGGGATCAGGCAGTGGGGGATGTTGGGAGGATGCCTGGGTGGGCAGCCAGGGAGCTCTGGCTTCCTGGGGCCTCCCCGGGTGCTGAGCAGCGTGGCCACTTCCGAAGGCCCCTTTGTTCGCCCCTTTATCCAGAAGAGCGGCTGCAATTGTGCAGGGTACAAAGCCCCCTCGGGCCCTGACTTCCCACCCTTGCCTGTGGCCTGGCTGGGAGCGGGTTTCCCAGGCTCCTGGACCGCAGCCTTCTGCCCCCTCCTAGGCAGCTGGGGACCCACACCCTCTTTCTCTATACCCAACATCTATTCATCTAACCCTCCCTTATCCTCCCCCCCCCCACCCAGTCTGGCCATTCACACAGACCACAGGCCCACTGTTCCTTTGGCACCCATCCCTGGACACACAGAGAGCAGTTCCCAGGCTTAACATTAGGAAGCCCCTCAGAACACGCAGAGCCGTGTGCAGGTGGGTTGGCGCGAAGGGCTGGGTGGGGGACCAGAGCAGATAGAGTGAGGGCAAAGCTAGACGGTAAGTGAGAAGGGTCCTTGTAACTGGATTGACTGCCAAGAGAAAACAGAGAAGGAAGAGGACAACTTCCTCCCCCTCCTCTCTTCTCTGCATCCCTTCTCCTCTCTCCCTCTCTTTTGAAACAAGGTCTCATATAGCCCAGTCTAGCCTCAAAGTCTGTGTGTAGCTGAGGATGGCTTTGAACTTCTGTTCCTCTTGCCTCCAGCTCCTGGATGCTAGGATTACAGGGACCCACCACCACATCTGATTTCACTTGCCACTAGAGGATGGACCTAGGGCCACGGGCACGCTAAGCGAGCACTCTGCCACCTGAGCTACATCCTCAGCCCCTTTCTCCTCCACTGGGCACTAACTAGTGTACAAGCCAAGGTCCACACTGCTACCCCCGCCCCCAGGATTGCCCTCCTAGCAAGCAGCCAAGGCTAAAAGAGGTCAGGTGGCTTCCTCTAGGTATTCCTGTTCTGAAGAGGGATTCAAAGTCCAGTAGGGGTTTTGGCCCTGAGCCTTGGTTATTACCTAGCCCATAGTGAAGAAAGCAAGAATACCGAGGCTGCAGATACCTGGCTTCTGTCCGCCGAGGCTCCCTTGGTGCAGGGAGCATCAGGAAGCTTCTTCTGCTGGTCCCCTTGGGAGTGGCTACTCTTGTCTGTGTTTGAGGGGGGTGGGGGCATTCTAGTCCTTTGGTCTGTCTGGGGAAAAAAGGGAAAGGGAAAGCTGATTGGCCTGCACTGACCTCTTAACTCTCTACCCAAAGAGATTGAGAAAGGCCCTCCTGGGTTCATCCTCACCCCGGGGAACACGTAGCACATAGGGAACAATCATGAAGTCAGTCCACCATTAGTCTTTTTTCCCCTCAGCTAGGATATAAGCTCCAAGAAGGAAGAGTGTTCTTCCTTCTCCGTGGCTAACACAGCCCAAGGGCTGTTGAATAAGTATTTGGGGATTGTTAAATATTCGAATGAATGATGACATGGGCTGGTGAGGTGGTTCAGCATGGAAAGGTACTTTCCCAGAAGACTGATGACCTGAGTTCAATGCCCAGAACCAGCAGGGTGGAAGGAGAGACCCAACTCCTACAAGCTGTCCTCTGACCCCCACCCTCCCCCCACACACTAAATAAAACACAATTAAAAGAAGACAAACATTTGGTATGTAGCCTCCAGGTACAGACTGCTGGGGCTCTTCTGTGAGGAAGAGCCCCCCTCCCACCCTCCTGGGGCAATGCTCAGCAGCCAGTGCGTTTGTGGAGGGAAAATAGTTGCAGGTCCCCAGTCTTGGGGTGCTGGCTGTGCCTGGCTCATGTCTCTATTCTTCAGGTCCTGTGGCACTGGGGTACCCCAAGAAAAGAAAGAGCAGACCATAATGGTTACCTGGCCCTGCCCATGTGCAGGGGCTGGGAAGAAATGTGAGAGTATGGCAGAGGCTCTGGATGCTCTTTGCCTCCCACAGTCCCCAAGTGTCACTCTGGGCTGGCTGTGGTCAAGAGCTGGCCTGGGTGGGAATCACTTGCTCTTTATGACTGGGTTTTGTGAGGTTGTTTGGTGCCTGATTAGATGTGTCTTTCCTGGGAGATGTTATTGGGTTTTAAACTTTGGGAGGACCATAGAGCCGGCAGCAACAGCAGTCCCATGGGTAAGGTAACGACTTGCCTGTTTGCAGTCCCATGGATAAGGTAACAACTTGCCTGTTTGCATTGAATCATCATGAAGACTAAGGGAAGGAAGAACTTGGCAGCAGCACCTCTACTGAGTGGGTTAAAATGAGGCCACTGGCAGTGGCTCCAAGATGTAACTCTAACTCACAAACTGACTTAGTGGAGCCCATTCTGTATGGAGAGACACAAAGGTATAGGGGGTAGAGAGGTGCCTTGGTCCTGCCTCAACGGGATGATGAGACAGACTTAGTAGACTTCCTAGGGGAGGCCTTACCATCTCCGAGGAGCAGATGGGAAGTGGGGAGGAGAGAAGGGAGGGGGAACTTAGGTTGGAATGTAAAAAAATAAATTAATAAATTAAAAAAAAAAACAAACCTATCCTTGATTGGAAGCTATATGCCTGCAAAGGCTGTATCTGCCTCAAGGGGGCGCTCTTTCCTAATTTTCATGAAACAGCATGACCTGCTGGTGGATGGGACTGCCGCTTGTCTGGAGAGGGGACATTGGTATCTGGAAATCCTCCACAATTCTCTGAAATGAGAGCGCTTTTCAG